TTTTTTTTTTTTTTTTTGCCACCAATATGCCAGTGTTGTGCCTGGGCATGTTACTAATGCTCTGAATCTGTTTCTTCATCTGTGAGAAAGAGGGAATACTAATACCTACCTTGTAGTCTTGTTGTGAGGATTCCATCATGTGAAGCAAGAAAACAGCTTAATGCGTGAACATGGCAGGTACTTAATATATAGAGCAATAAACACCTGGAAAAGATACCTACTTTTCCTATTTCATAGAATTTTCCCATATTTGAAGGTTAAATGATGATTGAGGGCAACTTTCCAGTTTATTCAATGATACAGTGTCTCCTTGACTTAGGAAACTAGCTCCCGTGAAAATGTGTGTGTGTGTGTGTGTGTGTGTGTGTGTGTGTGTGTGTGTGTGTGTGTGAATGAACTGTGCGTGTCTTGGTGTACACCTGTACAAATGTGTCCACAGGCATGTGTGCATGTGCTGAGGGTATAGTAGCAGCTGGTTATCTGTGTTCCTACGCTACATGTATCCAGAAAATGTGATCAAATATGGAGCATTTGTCTGCTGAAGATAACAAAACTGGATCATGACCATAAATCTAACTCAACCAGGTGGGCCTGAGCTCCAGAAACACAGGCTCTGTGCTCTCAGAGTATTTTTATGGTACTTGGAGTTCCCAGCCTGGGAGGTTTAGAGCAACTGTCTTCAGTAGACACAGCTATGGACTCACAAAATTACATTTATTTTTTAGTAACTTTATTTACAATTGCAGTATTCATTCGTTCTTGAAATATTTCAGAATAGACTTGATTAAAATCATTACACAAATAACATCAACTTTTTGTTATATATGGCACAGAATAATTTAACACTTTATAAATACATTTCATTGATGCACAAATGGGAGAAGCACCCTTTGCCAAAAGCAGTACAATAACTTAGTTCCATTGGTCTACGGAAGCGCTTTAAAAAAATGACCACAAGATGGCACTGCGGCCAAGAGATTAAGAATGTCTTAAACAGAGTTTTCTCTATGGCATTTAATTTCTTTCTTTAAATGTAGAAGAATCTGCTATTCTACTTAACGTAGAGTAAGATTGGTTACTTTATTTTAAAGTATTGACTAGGACAGAGTTCTTTAATTACAGATCTATTAATCATTCAAGGACTGTATTTCACTGGGGTAAGTGGTGTATTTAAAAAGCCTTAGTAGTCAGAAAGTCTCCAGACTAAACAAACGGTCGGAAGGTGCCATTTTATCTAAGATCAATCAACTATATAGAAGGACCATTGTTTTACCAACCCTCATAGAATTGCGCTACAGTCTTCCCATAAAATTAGGTCAACTTCCAGTTATTTAAATAACTGATACTTGTTACATTTTAATCTGCTTTAACAGCAATGGAAAGTCATAGAAACATTACAACATGAATTCACATTTAAATCAACATGATACAAACATGCACATGTATGCATATACTGAGTGTTTTCATTAATGACTTGCTTTTCCTCCATATAAATATATAAATATTGAGTGAAGTGCATGGGAACATGTCTGCACATGTATACAGATACATGGTGCCTATAATATACACTTGAATTATAGATACATATG